GATAAATGTAAATATATATATATATATACATACATACATACATACATACATACATACATACATACATATATACGTATACATATACATCGATCGATTTTGTTTTCTCTAGTGCTGATGATATTGTAATTAAAATTAATGATCATCCGTTGGTTCCTGCGGATCCCCTCCACCTACCATTGAAATTTCGTATTCCGATAAAAGTCATCAAAGTTGAAAAATTGGTCGAGATTCGTTAAGACTTTTATTAAAGGGAATTATATACTAATTAACGACTTGTTTCTTCAGGTTGAGTGAGATGTTTTGTTCTCGGGTAGCCTTACTGAGTCTCTTTACAACTTTTATGAAATTTTTGGAATTGCGTTTGATGAATTCGCCCATACTACTATATCGTACTAATTGAGTTTTTATTTATTGTGGGTATTGGCAGTAAAAACTAAGATAAAGTGGTTGTAAGGCTCCATAAATTCTCCCTTACATTATTACATATATAAATTGATTTCAAAGTTTTTCATCTATTTCCCATCTTTCATTCCATTTGCGCATAGTTTGCATCCTTTTTGACGATGGTTCTATACTAATTTCTAATGACAGAGTTTTTTTTTATTGATCCTAAAATGCTTCTCTGACGAACATTAGAAGCCTCCTACGTGTCTGCAATATATAGTGGGTACTATTGTTCATCCTGTTTTATATATACTTTCAAACTTAAATCAATGTCAATTAAGCGGAAATGAAAGTAAACAGATAAAAAAACGAAATATTACAAAAATCGTCTTATATCTTTTACTGAGGATATTTTTTTTAAATTTCAACTAAAAATGTGATTCTTACAGTGATCAATAAACACAATAAATCTCGCTAAATTTTGTAAAGAGATTAGGAAGATAATCGTACCGTTAGGAGGTTAAGTTTGCATGTAGAGAAATGCATCCAATAACCCGCAGGGAGGACACTACAAATTTCAATTGCATTCCCTCCCCCGCCCAAGAGAATTTATAATCAGATACTCGAGAAAAGAATAATTAACTTAAAAAATCAATTAACTGTACTGACCAGGCGGACTATGAAAATTTCCATTATTTTAAATAACCGTAAATTTTAAAAAATCTGTTATATATGCGTGGTGTTTAGTGACCATTAGCTAATGATTATTTGGAGATCGTGAGATGCGGTCTGGTGTGACGTAGGTTTTAGAAAAAAGTTTCTTTATCGTACCAACGTTTCGATCTCTGTGGAGAGCCTGGGATTTATAAACAATGTTTAAATTATAAAAATACATGTAGGGTGTGAAGAAAAAAGCAGTCATACAATGCTGCTTTTTTTTTTTTTTTTTTTTTTTTTTTTTTTTTAATTTTGTGTGTAATATTTTTGGATTGTTGAATTCGAAAATGTGTTGGCGTTCAAAATGGTGGGTAGCTACTGCTGTAGGATTTTTTTGGTGGTTTTTTGCAACCATAGATATTGCTTTACTCTCTTATCCAAATATTGGGGTGTAATAGCGATTTAAGTTGCGGGACAATTTAAAATTTTGATTTTGTAAATTACGTCAGAATTATTGGTTACTGGTGTGGGATTTTTAATTTTGAAAAAAATGGAATGGAAAAAATGTGAGTTGTTTTATAAAAACTTAAAACTTTAAAAAAACTGTAAAACAAGTCACACATTTTTTCCACAATATATCCGTGTATGGTATATAAACATAAAACATCATTATAACACTGGCATTTTCAACACGACACCCAAGAATGACACATCTACAAAAAAACAAATACAGTGAGTACAAATACGATTATATGATTGAATCTAAAATTTCTAGTATTATATAAATTCATTTTTTCACATCCTACATGTATTTGTATAATTTAAACAATGTTTATAAATCTCAAGCCCTGAAGATGATCTCAATAAAGATCGAAACGTTGGCACGTTAAACAAAACACCAGACCATATCTCACGATCTCTGAATAATAAGTTATATAGTTGTTGAGCCCATATATTTTTTGGCCCATCGTGAAATATCATAGGCGACTTTGTGTGTGTGTGTGTGTTTGTGTGCTTTATATTCAGTGTATTATTATATATTTAAAAAAAACCTATCAAAACCTATCCAATTATTGACCTCAATCGTTCTCCAAGACGACCGAGTAGACTGCAAAACGGGAAAGCTTAACTTGGAAATAAATTGTTTCTCGGCCCGGCCCGGGGAGAAAAGAATGAGCGTCACGGGATTGACTAGGATATAATCCCGATAGGAAGCCCCCCAGCCGCCTCGACCCCATACCTAATCGGAAAACAAGTGGAAAAAAGGGCTGCAAATCTTCCTCAACGGTTGTCCCTTCCGATCTTCCCGGGATCTACAATAAGGCCCCCGTATTATAATAATAGGGGAATCGCATTATGGCCGAACATTATAAAGCAATTTCCTTCTTACTATCAAGAATTTCATTATAAAATAATTTCTTTAAACTATTAAAATGGTTTCAGGCAGCCCACAGCTTGAAAGCACTTTACATTTTTTATTTACATTTTTGTTTTATATTAAATAAGAAATTAAAGTAATATTAAAAATGAAATAAAACAAAGCTATATTCGGGAAAACTCTCATATTACTTGCTCTTCTTGTGTTACATGTTTGTACATATAGGTAAAAGAAAATTATTTTTAAATTTCAAATAAATGTAAATATATGAACTTTCGTTAAACCGAATATTACAAACTAAAATAAAATTCATTCGCTTGGGCCTGCCTGTATTTTTTAGATATATCACTGAAGATGCCGCTAAGAAAGCCAAAACGTCGGGAAATAAAGTGTCAAATTTATAAAAAAATCTATCTATTTTTTTCCTGACTATTTCGTCGGGTACAGATCAAGAAAACATAGCAACATATTTTATGTGCGTGGTTTGACGTGCGATTTTTGCAATATCTAACCTCTTTCTAACTTGAATTTGAAAGTGTTGAAAGGGGAAAGTTAACGATTATTCGGTTGGTTCCGGTGTGATGTAGATTTTAGAAAAAAAATTTTTTTCTTTATCGTGCCAACTTTTCGAATTTTATTGAGATCATCTTCAGGGCTAGAAGTGTTTGTTTTCTGCGTAAGTGTGCCATTCTTGCGTGTCGTATTGAGAGTGCCACGAAAGCACGGGGGGGGGACATTGTCACGATAAAGAAACTTTTTTTTCTGAAACCTACATCACACCAGACGGCATCTCACGATTTCCGAATAATCATCGACTAACCGTCACTAATCACCACACATTTTTACAGTATTAGTTAATGAATAAATATAGTAGTACACTGTTAAGAAGACAATCTACATAGCTTCTACAATTAATCTGTAATTTTCGTAATAATTCAGAATATTTAGACATCTTAAGAACCTAGTGAAAGAACTACAGAGAGAACCGATTGATCTAGTTGATATTTCGTGTGATTTGCTTCGGTGCCTCACCCTGCTTATACCCTGACTAAATATGGTTATAATATATTTATATTAAATAAATTAGAATTCGTGGTCCGATTGACCAAATAACTCCTTTCAATTAATTAATCTTTATGTAAGGTATTGGTTGTTTGTTGACATCTATGTGTTTAGTCGTCCCTTCCTATATCAGTAGATTAATTAAGGTTTGTAGTAGATATAAAAAGTCAGCGTCACGAGCGGGATTCCAACCCACGACCTTCGACTAAATACGCCGCTGCTCTACCACTTGAGCTATCGTGACTTCTATCCACTCGGACACTAACTTACCATCTCAACCCCACCTTTCTAATTTTCCCTCCTTTTTGCCATTTTTCAAATGTCGGTTAATCTATTCGATTCTTGGCGACAAACGAAATGGCCACGGACAGCTTTAGTGAATATATTCTTCATTTTACTTATTAAATTCATTATAGTTCGTGGTCCAATTGACCGAATAACGTTTGTCAATTAATTAATCCGTATGAAAATTATTGGTTGAGATAAAATATATTAATATTGTTACCTTCTTTCGCGATCGAAGCAAAACTGATCCAAACCTCAATCATAATTAATAGAAAATAGAGCTCCAGAGGTTTTGGTAGGTCCTAGTTACAAACCACATTTTTTGTCTGTCAGTGTAAATATCAAATATGGCTAAAAGTAGATTTTTCGTTAATAAAAAATACTTTTTAATTTTTGTTTTAAGTTAAGTGTTTAAAAAATCAGGGGTACTAGTATGTACCCCTCTTGCAAATAATAATAGCAATAGTAATATTACTAATAATAATTTTTTATTTGTGCCCTATACCTATATAATACATAGTATAGTATATATTAAAAATGAAATTGTGGTACGTTTTTCACACAGTGACAGCCCTAACTCAGTCCTTCGCAATGTTAGGATTGAGCCGGTCTTTATGGAAATTTGCGACCTGTAAAAAACTTAAATACCCCAGTCTATGAATTTATTTATGAATTTTCTGAGATGATGACCTTAAAATGGTCGAAAGCTTTACAGTAACACCTGAATTTGCTTTTGTTCGTCAAGACCATACCTTGATTCGTAGTGTTTGTGACTAACAACAATGCCAGTGCAGACTCGGAGGACATATGTCATCAAAAAACAGCATGCTGCACTGGGTGCCGAGGATTAAAAGGCAAGGAATACTCGAGACCTTCGTCGATTAAGGCGGGTTCTCGTGATTCGAATGCGTAGAGAGGACTCAAGCAGAAGGGATGGATCTTGGTGTCAAGCTTAGGAATCGGTAACGGATCAGTTCGTTAACAATTGAGAAATTGAGGCCATTGTGGATAGTGAGGTGAGTAATGTAGTAAAGAGGTTTGACGATTTGTCTGAGGACTATCGATTGGAAGAATGAATGCACTGGACGTGAGATTAGCCGAACTTGGTGGTATGTCTAAAGTGGTAGCAATAAAATTCGTATAAGGTTAGTTTAGTGTTGACAGTCAACACGAATTATTTTTTTTAACTGAATACATTTTTAACAAGGGTACAAAAAATATTTTTGACACTTACGTAATGTTGAGAACTTTGGCGTCTTCTAGTTTGTGCAAGTTTGCGCCTTTCAAATACTTCACAAGCTGAAAAAAAGAAAATGTGTTATAGCTGTTTATATATAAATATTTCAAAGATTTACAACTGTTAAATAATATATATTATTTTACTAATTTCGTGGTCCGCTTGACCAATTAAAATATTACAATTAATTAAGGTTTTTAGTTGAGATAAAAAAGTCAATGGCACGAGCGGGATAGCGGGATTGAAAAATGGCAAAAAAGAGGGAAAATTCAAAAAGGTGGGGTTGAGATGGGAAGTTAGTGTCCGAGTGGGTCGAGGTCACGATAGTTCCAGCGGTAGAGCAGTGGCGTATCTAGCCGAAGATCGTGGGTTCGAATCCCGCTCGTGCCATTGACTTTTTTATCTCAACTAAAAACCTTAATTAATTGTAATATATATTATATTTTTATAGTTTAAGTAAAAGACAAGCTGCTTCTTTCGATGATCAATAGTTGTCAATTGTGTCGTTCCACTGATTATTAAAAACATTGATATTAATAGTTATATATGTATATGCTTGCTGTTACAGTTGTGAAGATGAATATTTACGATAACATCTGTATAAATGATAATACAATTTCGAACAATTACATTATATTGTTTTAAATTTTTTATCAAAACACTGTTCCTTATCTCTCTATCTATCTTAAAACAATGAGGGAAAATAGCATGTGTTGATAAAAAACTAAGTACATTAAAAACATAATTGTTACACAGTCATTGTAGTTAAAAGATATTTTCTAAGATAAAGTATATAAAATCCCACCAGAGCCAAAGGTTTTGTTTGGAATTACAAACTTTGAATTCCAGCATAGTGCAATATTGACTCCAAGAAAAGAACCAATTTCATTTTTGCCACTTGTATACATTTTACTCATTCTACAGATAGACTATAAATTGACTAAATATATCAGAAATAATATGCTTACGTATATGATACTCTTGATCACCACATACTAATACATAACCTAAATTACTATGGCGCAAGAGGATCATCAGTAAGTAAATTGTTTTGAGTAAATAGAAAACAAACAAACTGTAGTCATAAACAATACGAATTACGATGATGAAGAAGAAATCGACCACGAGGATTAATATGTTTGGGATCTGGTTTCTGATCAGGTAGAGAAAGAAGTAGTCTCTAGATACTTGCCAAGCGTTCGGCCTTTATAAGACCTCATCAATGCTTGAATAAATATTACAACATTATGTTATTTCATTAATTATAAGTTTTTTGGTTAGTTTTAATACAGCATCTTATTACTCACATTAACATTACAGAATGACGAAAAAACCACGACGACATCGACTATAGTCCCCACGGTCGACGTCGTCTGGGTTTTTTCGTCATTCTGTAATGTTATTATGAGAAATAGGATGCTCTAAGTTAAAACTAACCAAAAAACGCATAATTAATGAAACAATATAATGATGTAATAATGTAATTATTCAGGCCCTGATGATGGTCTTATAAAGGCCGAAAGCTGGGCAATTGATCACAGTGTCTACTTCTTTCTCTACCTGACCAGAAACCAGATCCCAAACACAATATAAATTACGATAACATGCTAGGTATTTGTGATATACCGTACGATTATTAATTTTCATGGGACTATATGAGACAGTTTTTCAGAGTTTTCTTAGGTGTATATGTTAATAATGCAAACAGAGAGATAACCTTTTTTCAATTAGCGGATGACATAAGGTTAGGTAGGTTCCTTTGATATAGATACACCTAAATAAAACTTAATTCAATTTTATGACCACTTTACTGCAAACCTTTTGGTTATGATCTTTACTAACAATCAACTTATCAGTTTTGTTTTGAGAGATAGCACAGGGGTAACAAATTGTGTCCAATATTTAGCTCTGAAAAGAGACTCTAAGTTGAATGGGATTGAATACGTAAGTACACTATATTAAAAATTAGAAGATATATATATATATATATATATATATATATATGTCACATTTGAATAAATTAAAAGTTCTAGTGAACTTTGAAAGCAGTGGAAATAGTAAAATTGTTTGATGTGGGATGATTGGAACAGATAGTTGTACTCATGAGAATTGCGTTAAAATATATTAAATGCTTTGACTACTAACGGTAAGTAAATTAATAAAAACAATGGCGGTTAGGTGAGTACATCAAATCACTGGTTGGTAAGTTCACAAAATCCAGTTTGTAAGTAGAACCACCTTTACAAAGAAGTGCTCTGAGAGTAGTGTTCGATAATATATCGCAAATTTTCAGAGTATTGTTAAGTGCTTATGGGGATAAAAAATAGGTGTGATAAAACTGTTCAAAATTCTTTAAAAAAGGTGTGCTGAGGTTAATATATGGTACACGATTCAAAGAACATTGTAAACGTCTACTTTTCAGATTAGATGTAGATACCTGCTTTGTAAGTGTCCTTGTTAGTTGGGCCGGCTGAATTGCTCTTGTACCAATGACGCTACCAAAAATACCTGTTTAAATATTTTTTATTCTAATTTCCAAATTTTCCATTTTTTTGGAGAAAAATTATACAACGTATGTCAGGCCCAGTTCAACTTCAAAATTTCAAATACGACACTTTACATCCAGATACATCTTTTTAAATGTGTTTCTACTCTGAAAACAATTGGCCAATCAGATTTTAAATTGGTCAAAAAATCCCTCAGGCATGGCAAAACTTTTGGAAAAACGCATTTTGTTTGTTTCNTATATATATATATATACATTTAGGGAAACCATTCTCTACTCGTTATATACGTTATGTACTCAGTTTCCGATTTCACTATGTGTCAAAGTCGCACATCTGTACAAGTTTTTCATTACTGGACAAACATCCGTATCCTTCAACTTTCATTTGACCATAAGGAATTTAGTAACGTTGATAAATCGCTATTAATAACAATAACGGAATGTCTCAATTTAGGTTTATAATACAAACTGAAACATTACAATGTAATAATTTTAATCGATATATCTGATTACATTCAACGTTTGGAACTGATGATTTGCACAGTTTAGATTTGTTGTAGTCCGGAATAATCCGCTCTTCTTAAATTCCACCGGCCGGCCGGAATGTAATTTATGCTATCGCTAAAGTTTGGATTTATAGCTTGCCCTCCAAAACGACGTTTTGCCCGAAATTGTCTCAGAACTATGGCTGAGACAATCCTTGTGAGATTCATCTTACTGCCGACACATCATCCCACGGCTCAATTGATTGGATTAAATCTGGGGAATAAGTAGATAATTATTAATATAACATGGACAATGTGTTAAGTCCATTAAACTTATCTGATGGCTAAAATTAACTGAACATAGATAACGACATAGATAAATACATAACATTACATAGATAAATGAAATGTAACATAAAAAAGCTTTTTCTATAAGACTAATGAGTTTTTATTTTTCTAATTAAGGGCAAGAATGTTTTTTCACGTTTCACTATTTTACAATTTTTTCAATATTCCAATCGATATACTTTCTGTTCCATAAATTAGTAAACTCAATATTTCTTGATCTTCTCAATTTTTTAATGTATTGATTTAAATAATAAATAATAGGAAAAGTCATGCAGGACTGTGTAAAACAAACCAGTTTACAATATTTCTTTTAAAATATTCTCATTAAAATTCCAAGGGCTATTCAGGGATTCGAACCCCTAACCACTAATGCGGCAAATACAGGTCGAATAATCTAGTCAGTCCACCACCATGATCTCCACAAATAAGCAATATTAAATAAATTTTTCAGAAATCGTGAGATGCGGTCTGGTGTGATGCAGGTTTCAGAAAAACATTTTCTTTATCGTGCCAACGTTCCGATCTTTATTGAGATCATCTTCAGGGCCTGGAATTTACAAACATTGTTTACATTCAACAAATACATTTAGGATGTGGAAAATTGAATTTATACTATTTCTATTCATTCAAAGTGTTTGACTTCTGTGTAATTGTGCCATTCTTGTGTGTCGTGTTGAGAGTGCCAGTGAGATTTTGCTGTTTTATGTTAATATATGTTGGATGTTGAAGGGGCGGGGAAGGAAGTCGGTATAAAAAAGACATTTCCTTCAAAATCCAACATATATAAACATAAAACAGCAAAATCTCACTGGCACTCTCAACACGACACGCAAGAATGGCACAATTACACAGAAGACAAACACTTTGAGTGAGTATAAATACTTTGATTGAATATAAAAAATATATTTTGCATTGTATAAATTCACTTTTCCACATCCTAAATGTATTTGTTAAATGTAAACCATGTTTGTAAATCCCAGGCCCTGAAGATGATCTCAATAAAGAACGAAACGTTGGCACGATAAAGAAAATGTTTTTCTGAAACCTACATCACACCAGACTACTTCTCACGATTTCTGAATAATTATCGATTAACGGTCACTAATCACCACACATTAAATAAATTATATGCTTTAGGAGCTCTTTTTTAACAAGATTAAAAATTATACGAATTCGACATTTATATTAAATATTAAAATATCACTGTCAATAGACGACATACCTGTTTTTGAAGTTTAATTTCAAGGGGTCTGGTAGAATCTCCGATATTGGAAATGTTCACTAGCCTTATCGTACACTCAAAATGCGACATATCTGAAAAAACCAATAAAAATGTACATAAGGTTATAGTAGTGTACATGAATTGCAATTATGCATTTACTAATACAAAAATGGTAAAATGATGCAATTATGAAATAAACGTTGAACTTATTCATCGCACTAATGTTTATTGTTAAATAAATTTATCTGTGCATATGTTAAAATATAGTATCCCAACGATACAGATAAATAAATGTGCATAATGATCTTGGAAATTACCATATAATATAAACCATCTTTTATTGTTTGTCCTTCTCCTCTTTTCACATAAATACCTTTTTTGTATATGAATCTTAGCTAAATTTCAACAAAACTATTTCTTAAAAAACTGTATAAATCCAAATTTTATGTTCAGATTAATAAATATTAGATTATGTATCACAAAGAAAAATAATCACGTAATGTAAGGTAAAAAATAAGTTGCATTCGTTTTCTTCGAATATATTTAAAGAGCGACATCTTCAGTAATTTCTGATCAATTTCATTCAAACTAATATCAATGTTCACTACCTAAAATAGTTTTTTGGTATTTGTTACTGCTGTTCGATTTCTGCCTGTACATAAACATTGGCGCCTGAAGGTTTTCTATCTGAATAGTGGTTTAAAGAGAGTGTGGGTGTGTGTGTCTGTTTCCATTTATTGATTTAGAAAGGAACTATTTTAATTTTTATTCTGTAACACCCACCGTGAAGGTTTTATTTGGTTGGCTAATGGTTGATTTTAATTATTTTTCAAAAAAGTCAGTGTCACAAGCGGGATTCGAACCACCTTCGGCTAAATACGCCGCCACTCTACCACTTGAGCTAACCTGACGTCGATCCTCTTGGCCACCATTTCTCCATCTCAACTTATAACCGCTCGAATTTTCCCTCTTTTTGCCATTTTCAAGTCACGACAGTTCAAGTGGTAGAGCAGCGGCATATTTAGCCGAAGATCGTGGGTTCGAATCCCGCTCGTGACACTGACATTTTTTTATCTCAACCAAGACCTCACATATAAAGAATAATTAATTCAAAGAAGTAACTTGGTCAATTGACCACTAATACGTAAATGGATTATTCATTAAATTGTGAGATTTCGCCGTGTTGTCTCAGAGGAGATAAACCTTAAATTTGGACGTTACCGATCATTTTAGTTTGCCTATCCTTAATGGCTTTCACCTCGAAAGGTGTCACTCGCCGATGTGCTGACCCTAGGATTCATACTTCTCGGCGTACCTTCATAGCGCTGGGTCGCTGTACCCTTAAACCAGATGCCCAAGATATCGTCACTCCCCATCAACGGGATTATGCTCCGACGAGGGCTGTAGAGAGCTTGGTCATTTCAGCCCCAAACGCATGAATACTATCATCTATCTTAATACTAATCAAATTCGATATGTCAGGCGCACAGATAAATAAATTCAAACATATACAATACCCAATATTAGTTATTTTTAATTTTTAAAAATAATTTCAGCCAGTTAAAAAAGTGCCGAATTAAACTATGTATTATTTACAGTACGTTTGTGTTTCATGAATATTTTATAGTTTTAAATATGTCCATTATTTATGGGTTTTTTCTACAATCAATACATTAACTTGTTATTGCTATTTTCATGATTTAAAAAAAAATTAAATTTTTTTGTAAAATTTCTTTTAGTACAAAGTTTACGTTGTAATGATCTACGGCTAAAATATGGCCATCAACATGTTTTATACTAAGAAGTCAGATAATGTTTTTTATTATAGACACTATTACTGAAATCTTATAAACATATAGAAACCAATCCATTTGGACACCTACTACTTTACAAAAATTGTAAAAACGAGTATATTGAAATTCTTTATTAAAAAAGTTTTCATCTAAAGATTTTAGTGGTTGTCACCCGAAAATGTAATTTTTCTTCTTTTTTCCAACCAGTAGAAACATTAACCCTGATCAACTACAACGGTTGCCCGTTATTACTACAGTCCCTTAGCATGAATTAAAGATGTTAAATAATAAAAAAAGAACCATCCAGCACAGATAGTACAATCAATCTGTATGACCGGCAACTGCCAAAATAATTATTTGAGTATGATGTATACTATGTATAAAAAAAATTTATCCATCCCTAACCAAGCCTGGAGGAACTTTTGCTTGGAAACAGAAATAATTAAAGAAAGTTCTCGTATTTTTAAACTTCTGGAAAAGGATTATATTAGTCCGTTAGGTTTATTACAAGCTGATAATGGGGTGTACACCACATCCTGTGAGGAGACCCTGAACCTGATGGCTAGAATTCATTTCCCCAGGTCAGACTCTTCCACTATCCCAGCTGATGTTGAACTACCAACACCAAATTGGAATAAGGCTAATGAGGTAATTTCCTGGGAGGATAGACATATACAGGAGGGAATACATTCCTTCAAGAAATACAAGGATGGAATATTCCCTGCCCACCTTCAACAGGAGACACCTAGTCTATCTAGTACAGTATGGGATCTCCTAAGGAGTTTACTGGCATTGGGATATATACCAAAATGCTGGAAGGAAATAAGGGTAATTTTCTTACCCAATCCAGGTAAGGTCTCATATCAATTACCTAAATCGTATAGACCTATAAGTATATCTTCTATTTTCATAAAAATTATAGAGAAAATTTTAGATAGATATATTAGGCTAGTGGAGGAATCTATAGATCTTATCAATAGGATCTCTTTCAGGTTGAGAATAAGGTGACCCTTATTTGGATACCAGCACATAAAGGACACAATGGCAATGAAAAGGCGGATGGCCGAGCCAAAGAAGGTTCTAATACTCCGTTTTTCGGGCCACAACCGCTATTAACTCACTCTAAGAGCACAATGAAAGAGAGTATCAATAGCTGGGGCATGAAACAATTCCTTAGGGAATGAAATTTATCCCCCGGACACAGGCACTCGAAAGAGTTTGTTAAGGCGATCAAACCAGTAGAATCAAAATGGCTATTCTCTATCTCAAGGAAGGGAATTATGAGGCTGAAAGGTATTCTGACGAGGCACTGCCCATTGAGAAGACACCTCTTCGTAATGGGTATCCTACCAGATCCCTTTTGCCGCTTCTGCAAAATAAAAAAAGAAACGGCAAGGCACTACCTCGCAGAGTGTGATAGGTATGCTAGGTCTAGATTTGAAATCTTTGAAAGAGAGGACATAACCAAATCACTCTCCGAGATAAAATTGTCCAAAATCTTGGGGTTTGTGAACAAGTCCAAGAGGTTAATGCAGTTAACCCCGCGGGTCTTGGTCGCCCACCCTGCATAATATATATATGATGTATACTTAGGTAAAAATGCATGCTTTTATTGATTATTCACAATTTGAACTGTTTTCTTACCTTGGGCAACTGTTGCTCCATATCTTTCACAAGAGCAATAATTTTCCTTTGAGACGTCGTACCGACATTGTTTCGTACATTTGGCTTCATCCTTACAGTCTGAAAAAATACAAAAACAATTGCGATTATAGAACTAGTTATTATACTAGTACTATTCTTATTTTAGTATAGTTATGTAAAAAATATCTTGAATTTTAATTTATATTGAATTTTTTATTTAATAATAAAATNATTCGCAATCTAGTGAGAATCACAAGTTCTTTTCTCTCAAGTTCCTCAGTTGGCCACTTATGTACAACTGGCTTAATTTCTTTCATACTATCTCTACAGCACTGGGTGCTAATTTAGAGTACCGTGTTTACTCCTGCAATAACGATGCAACGGATTCCAGTGTTTTCATGACGTAAATGTGGAAGCGGCCACTCTAAAACCTAGTACAAAATAAAATATAATATATTTATTTTACGTTTTGTATAGTGGTATAATAATTGTACATTCAAGTATATTTAACTGAGATAATCAAATGATTTTTTTTTAATTAACTTGTTTTAAATAAATTTTTGAATATTCACTGGTTAAAAATATATTTTTAGAATTGTTATAATTAAAGAGAGTTTTGTTGTTTAAAGAAAATTCACTGAGGCAAATATAGTGGCCACCTTTATACAACCCTCCATTCAGAATTGTACAACAATATTTAGTCCGTTTTAAAGGATTGGAGTTAAATAAAACACAGAGAAATCTCCCACTTGTGTTTACAATTGGATTTTGTAAATAAACCTTTGAATTGTCAATCTCTTCTTTGTTGGTTTTTCTGTAAAGCTTCTTTCTAACATTCCAGTGGTCTGATTTTGTATGTATTATTTGCAAGTTCAGTGTTTTTGAGGGTTTGTTTAACGTGTTACAAATTCGGCTAGAATCAATAGCATTATTGGATGATGGAATAAGTCAAGCGTAGCGGCCAAGGTACATACGTTCCCAGAAGAACTGTCCGAAGGATCTTCTATCGCAACCAAGATACTGTAAGTTACTGAAGAAATTGATCAGGTCGCCATCGTATCACATGTCATAGTGATGATAGTTTTATTGTTTGGAATGTACTCCATCATTGATATCCTACCGCTGTTGAAGTCAAACAACGACTTCAACAAGTTAGAAACGTTTATGTGTGGTGTTTAGTGACCGTTACGTAATGATTATTTGGAGGTCGTGAGATGCGGTCTGGTGAGACTTAGGTTTTATAAAAATGTTTTCTTTATCTTGCCGACGTTTCGATCATTATTGAGATCATCTTCAGGGTCTAAGATTTACAAACATTGTTTAAATTTTAAAAATACATGTAGTATGTGGGAAAAATAGAATTTATACAATGATAGAAATTTTATATTCAATCAAAGTATTTGTACTCAGTCAAAGTAGTTGTTTTCTGCGTAATTGTGCCATTTTTGCGTGTCGTGTTGAGAGTGCCAGTGAGATATTGCTCTTTTATGTTTATATACGTTGGATTTTGAAGAGGTGGAGAGGGAAGACAGGAATAGAAAGACATTTTTATATGAGGAGTCGGCTTCTTTTACGCAAAAGTAGAGGAAAAAATGGGGAATGGTTCGGGCTGATTATCTTTTCAGAATTATATAGACGGGGATAATTAGTGGAAGGAAGGCCAAATTGTTTAAGAATTAGACTATTTAGAAATGTTGGATGTGTGGAATGTGATGATATTTTTTATATGTTGTATACTATGTTTTGTGTGATGTGATGATGATATATGTATGTAATCGTTACTGATTGTGATTAATGATATTAGCGTAGAAATGTTTATGTTAGTTTACGCAATGTAAGGTGAAGACTTTTAGACGATGGATTGCGTGTGACAAGGCCTGCCACTGGTCTAGAACTTCTGATAAGGCACAGAACAACTCGGTTAAGTTTCCATGGTTTGGGCAGGCATTTCTATGGAAGGTCAAAAAAAGCTCGATCTTCATCGAGGTTTCCCTACTCGCTGCGCGATACATTTAAGATATGTAATAATAAGAAGTTGTTCCTTATATACCGTTAACTCAATTAGTTGCCTACGGTTTTATTTTTAATCATGACAATGCAAGGTCTCACTCAGATAGGATCGTTAGCGACTACTGGCACGGGCTTCAATTCAATGTTTGAAGTGGCCAGCATGTTGTCACGACTTAAACCCTATCTAACACCCTCGGGACGAGTTGTCCAAGAGCGAGTCGCCTAGTTGTAAGGTTGCAAAATTATTAATATATAAATTTTTCTTGTTTGGTATACAAAAAACCCTGGTCGGGACCTACTTCCCTGAGGAGTGATAAAAAAAGCGGGGAGAAAAGAGTAAGTGGCTGGACACGCTGGAGTCAACTACGGTGAGCATATTCCTTTATTTTCGTTAATTCCTGGATCCTTGTTCCTTTCTGGAGTGTGGTCGCTCCTCGTCCAAATAAATGTATTTGCAATAGTACTGTACTGAATTGATTTAATTTAGTTGAAATTTTGTTGTTTTTCTGTAAAGTGGATTTTTTAATTTTTTTAGAAAAGACATTTTTTGTTTATTACACGGCATTTTAATGTAAATATAGTTATTTCATTTGATTTCATGAGGCCACATTATATTATTATATTGGATGTATAAATGTGTTTTTTATATATTTCTTTTCTCCGGTTCTTGTTTTCTTTTGAGAATTCTTAGAGTTATTTGGTCGAGGAACGACTGGTTCGTTGGGAAGGCGAACACAGTGATGCCAGAGTATATGCGGTAGTTAAGAATGATGCTGTTGTATGAGTAAAAAATCCACAGCATTACATTTGAAACCTCATAAAATCGATGCCACATTTGTTCTTTGTTTTGCCATTTTCTTCTTTGTTTCCATAGCATCACTTTTGATAAAATTGTTTTACTCACATTATTTTCATTTAGCTATATCTTATAGTTTTCTTTTAACAGACCGAATAAAAAAAAACAAAAAAAAAACAACAACGATTAAGTATTTACTCAAAAAACGAGGGTGGCCACATATTTTATCCTCTCATGTATTAGAGAACTTACTACATATAACTCACTTACTTTTCGATAAAAGTAAATTTTCAGAAAGAACAATAATTAAATCAAACAATTTTACATATTTCATATAAAAAGAACACTTTTTTATTAATCGGATTTTAAATGAAAAACTTTCAAATTAAAAGTTGGTGCTTGCCTATAAACTGTTGGCTATGGCCTGTTATTAAATTCGATACCATAAATACTAAAGTTTATTTAATTTACTGAGCTACTCATTTGCCTAAAGGGCTGCGCTGGTAATAAAACGATATTCTTTATGTGTTTCTTCTCTTGAAACAGTCACGCCTTTAAGACATTCAACGTTTAATGTATAGAAACATTAATTCAATGACAGTCGTTCTGTAACGATTACTGTTATATTAAAATAAATTTTTCAATATTATAAATATGACGTATATTAAGAAATTAACAATTAAAAAATCTTATTTGCAATATTAACAAATTAACTATTTTATTGATTTTAATTTAATTATTTAATTAAGAGTTTTTTAAAGTCATATATGTTTAGCAGTCATAATTGTCCATATTAATTACTTCAATTAATTATTCTTTTTATCTCAAATTTTTTCATCTCAGCCAAGGCCATAGATAAAAATAATAATTAATTGAATCAAGATTTTATTAAACGTATCAAGATTAATGAAACGCATTTTACATTCAAAATATACAATAGTCAGGATTGGTAGTAAACCGGGAAATTTATTTTGTATCTGGTCTCGTATTTCTTTGGAAATGTTATCTCCTGAAAGAAGAAAGGAAGAATAAAATTTCCCGTCAAAGGAAATCCAGTTGAAATGGCACAATACACATCACGCATCAGTAGCAACACTTGACCCAAACCAGCCGACACTCTCAACCACGCGGATAACCAAAAATCCGTCCTGGCACAGACAGGAAAAAGTAATAAAAGGGCACGAAGCGGACGTAAATGTGCCATAATCGTAAATCTGATACGAGTTTGTCGGATTCGTCTCTTATCCATATTTTAAATGTTAGATTCACCGATTCTCTTTCTCATTTTTGATTTACAGAGTGTGTTCAATTTTTATGAATATATGTTCGGAAAGTTGTCACGAACAAAGGGACAGAGCCACTTTACAAGACTTTTTGATCAAATTATATTTGATATTATATTTGATATTATATCAAATTTGATCAGATAAAATATGTAAGACTTAGAATCCTTAGACTAGAAAATATTTGTCGAACTCCTTAGCCACTCGGCCACCGCGCTACCCCCCCACCAAAAAAAGAGGTATTTTCTACAAAATTTTGAAAATTGAGATAGAATGAATAAGGTTTATCAAAATGTAAGAATATATTTACTATAAAGAAATTACTCTTAAGTAGTGAGCTTATTTTGGTACCACACAAGTGAAAACTTCTATAACCTCATGAAAATGTTCTGAATATAAAATAAAATTACGATTACAACAAAAATTATATACTTTTTGGCGCCCAGTTGTGCTTTGTACGCCGATTTCTCGGTCCTGCCATATTTTAGTTTTATTTGGAGCAGTTAAGTTGTTGTCAAACCGCCCTGGTGAAGACATCGGATATTTTGTTAAATTGATTGTCTGATTGATACAATTTCGTCGTAGTCCCTGGAAATGGTGGCGTTACGTTCTTTAGATCGTGGTTTTTCGTCACACCCGTATTTTCGTCGATCGAACTGTTCCTCTGGCGTGATAGCTGTCTCCATCACGAGATAAAGGTTTTCGGTTATTTTTTCCAAACGATCTTTTGCTTTCCGATCCTCTCCGAAGGTCGTGGGTTCGAATCCCACTCGTGACATTGACTTTTTTATATCAACCAAGACCTTAGAAATGATAATTAATTGATTGAAAGAAGCAACTTGGTCAATTGACTAAGAAAACGTAAATGGGTTATTCTTAATTATTTTCTCTTTCCAATTTCCGTTATTATTCGGTTGTATTAATTTTCTGTTTTGAAATTTAATTTCATCTGCGACACAGTCCAACCAGTTTTTCTTCCTGAAAAGTTTGTCCTCTTAAAAAAATTATCT